TTACTGGGCACAATGGCACACATCAAAAAATGAAATTTAGTTGCCGGCTCTCAAAGTGAAACACATACATGACACACACCTAAAACGTACTATATACAACGTATGTATAGACCCACACCCCTACATATACGTAACAAATAAATATTAAATACTGTCCATCTTGAATATATAATGGAAGGAGGAATATATCCACCCAAAAACATACACAACACACATATACACATGCCATACCCACACACACAAACCCATATTCTCCAAAGCGCCTGAAGGCAGGACAAGAAGCAACGGATGGAAACTAATCAAGGAGAGAAGCAACCTAGAACTAAGGAGAAACTTCCTGACAGTGAGAACAATTAACCAGTGGAACAACCTGCCTCCAGAAGCGGTGAATGCTCCAATACTGGAAGTTTTTAAGAAGAGACTGGACAGCCCTTTGTCCGAAATGGTATAGGGTTTCCTGCCTGAGCAGGGGGTTGGACTAGATGACCTCCAAGGTCCCTTCCAACTTTATTATTATTATTATTATTATTATTATTATTATTATTATTATTATTATTATTATTATTATTATTATTATTATTATTATTATTATTATAACCCAAGGTGGCATTTCCACTGGACACTTTTCCCAAAAGGTTTCCACAATTTTGGCCACTACTGTAGTTCTGAATTTCTAATGTCCTCCCAGTTGACCTTCTAGAGAAGCGAGAGCGCCCTTCTCCTCTCTCCTCCTCATTTCCACAAACACCACTCCCTTCTCTCACTGATGATGTTACCTAGTTGGGTAATGAAACGCCTGCAAGAAAACAAGCCACAATCCAGCTGAGAGACCACCAAGGACCCTACAGTCCTGCTCCTTCCCTCCCCCAGCCCGGCTTTAAACACGGAAAATTTCTCCCCTTCCCCACGCTTTTTAAAATCCCACCTACGAGAACTCCGAAATATTTTTTTTCCCCAGCAGACGATATTTGATCAACCGAGCCAGCTTTTTCGCGGAGGTTTCGCGCAAGCACCAAGGAACGGGTCCTCTCGTGCGAACTGGAGACCGTCGCTGGAAATCGGAACCAGAGCTTCCCAGCCAGTCTCGACAACGACAACGACAACAACAAAAAAAACCCAACCGGTTTACACAGGACAAAACCAATACTCGCAACGTCGAGAGACCAAAAAAAAAAAATTCTGGCTCCGACCGGATTGCGGGAAAATGGCGACTGTACCTGAACAAAATAAAGCCCAGAGATTCGACAGCCGCCCGTCTGACGTCATCGTTCACATCGCTCACCTACGAAAAAGAAAAAAAGAAAAAAAGAGAGAGCAGAAATTAGCCTAAATATATGGAAATCACTCGCGCGGATTTGTTACCCCTGTTTCCTGAGCATTTATTACCCCCGTTTCCCTGAAAATAAATCCTAACTGGAAAACAAGCCTGATTTTTCAGGATGCTCGTAATATAAGCCCTACCCCCAAAATAAGCCCCAGTTAAGATTGTCAGCCATACTGTGTTTCCCCAAAAGTAAGCCCCCCCCCCAAGAAAGTAACCCCCAGCTTGATTTTCGGGGATGGGCCTAATATAACATGGTTGTTAAGTGAATCTGGCTTCCCCATTGTCAGACAGTCGCAAAAGGGGAGCCCATGACCCCGGGGACACCGCAGGCTGACTGCAACTGTCCTAAGTCCATGTCAGTTGCCAAGCATCTGGATTCTGATCGTGTGACCCTGAGGATGCTGCAACGGTCGTGAGTGTGAAAAACAATCGTAAGCCACTCTCTCCAGGGCCATTGTAACTTCGAACCGTCACAAAATGAACGGTTGTAGGTTGAGGACTACATTCATTCATTCATTCATTCATTCATTCATTCATTCATTCCAATTTCTACGGTTTACTCCAGAGTAAGGAGCCCTCACCGCCACGTGCAACAGACGCCTGATGGCTTTGTTGTTTCCTGAGCCGCAATAAGCCATTGCGACGGTATACATCCCCGAACGGCGGAGAATTGGGTCCTGGAGAAAAGAAAAAAAAAAGCGTTATAAATTTCAGGAAAAAACGGCCAAATTCAGGGCCACGATAACTGTTTTTGCCCACAGATCGATCTCCAGGAAGGCCTAGAAAGATCTCTATCGAAAGCCACGCCAGGGAAGACTTTGTAGGGATGAATTAATAAGATTTATTAGAAACCGATAAAAGAAAATATTGATAGCTCAGGGTTGAACTGTGGGCTCCTGAGGGCTCTCTGAGCTGGGCTACTTTCTTGGAGACGTTTCACGAACCAACTAGGGAACGGCATCAGTGCACGAGGGAGGGAGGAGGGTTGCTCTGTTTATAGACTAATAGCTTCTCCTGTCAGTGTTAGTAGGGGTTGTGGTTTTCTCCTTGGTGATTCCTTGGTTAGGCTGTTGTTTTCTTTATGTTTTCTCCAATTTTCCCCACAACAGCAACCCTGTGTGAGGTGGGTTGGACTGACAGAGAGGGACTGGCCCAAAGTCACCCAGCTGCCTTTCTCACCTAAAGGTGAAACTAGAACTCACCGTCTCCGGGTGATTGGCCCAAAGTCACCTAGCTGCTTTCATGCTTAAGGCGGGACTAGAACTCACCATCTCCTGCTAGCTGGCCCAAAGTCACCTAGCTGCTTTCCTGTCTAAGATGGAACTATAACTCCAAGTCTCCTGGTGACTGGCACAAAGTCACCCAGCCGGCTTTCATGCCTAAGGCAGGACTAGAACTCACCATCTCCTGGTGATTGGCCCAAAGACACCCAGGCAGCTTTCATGCCTAAGGCAGGACTAGAACTCACCATCTCCTGGTGATTGGCCCAAAGTCACCCAGCCAGCTTTCATGCCTAAAGCGGGACTAGAACTCACCGTCTCCTGGCAATTGGCCCAAAGTCACCCAGCCAGCTTTCATTGCTAAGGCAGGACTAGAACTCACCATCTCCTGGTGATTGGCCCAAAGTCACCCAGCCAGGTTTCATGCCTAAGGCGGGACTAGAGCTCACCGTCTCCTGGCAATTGGCCCAAAGTCACCCAGCCAGCTTTCATTGCTAAGGCAGGACTAGAATTCACCTGTCTCCTGGTGATCGGCCCAAAGTCATTCTTTCACGGCTAAGGCAGGACTTTAACTCGTGGTCTCCTGCTTCCTAGCCTGGTGCTTTAACCACTAGACCAAAGTGGCCCTTCGTAACCCATAGTCATCCCCCAGAAAGCACCAGGTTGGGGGATAGATGCTCCAAAGTCAAATACTGGCAGTTCTTTCTAAAAAAAAGAAAAGAGCGCTGAGAAAGAGGGGGGAAAAAACTCACCTTATCTCTGCAGAGGCTCTCTATGAGGGCATCGGCTTCCTCCATGCGCCCGTACATCACCAAGGCGATGCCAACGGCCAAGCCCCGTAAAATCTTCTCGTGCTGGGTCTCCTGGGCATAGCCCACCATGTCCTCAATGGCCTGGGCGTTTTTCGATCCCAGCATCACCAGGCCCAAAGCCAGACCGGCCGCTTCGCCTTTCGGGTGGGAAAGAATAAAGCGGCATCAAGACAGAATGGAGGATTCCCTATTCTTTGCTTACGTATCTTCATCTTTTATACTACCAGCGAACAAAAATCATAACAAAAATTATATTGAAAAAAAAAAGATGACTTCTTTGATCGGAAAGACTCTCAAGTCGGTCCATTAACCAGCAAGTTGAAGAGGCGTGGACTTCAACTCCCAGAATTCCGCAGCCAGCTGTCCCTCAGTGAGGAAGATGGGTGGTTTTAAACTAACGGACTCACGGAGTGGGAAGGGACCTTGGAGGTCTTCTAGTCCAACCCCCTGCTCAGGCAGGAAGACCTATACCAGGGGTAGGCAACCTTGGCTCTTTTTTGACTCGTGGACTTCAACTCCCAGAATTTCTCAGTCAGCATGGGGGAACTATGGCCCCTTCATGACTTGTGGACTTCAACTCCCAGAATTCCTGAGCCAGCATGGGGGAACTATGGCCCCCTCATGACTCGTGGACTTCAACCCCCAGAATTCCTGAGCCAGCATGGGGGAACTATGGCCCCCTCATGACTCGTGG